TCTTTGGTGTGATTCGTCCTTCCTTTGGTCATGTGTCACTTCAATTTGAAACAATACTATTATTTGTCTTTGTTCCGTCAGTGTTGTCTTTTCGATGGGAACGAATACTCTGTCTTGTAACATGTCTTTATTATATTTTTCATTTTTAGGTGACGTTATTTCTGTGTTTCATGCAGTGATTTGGAGCTTAAGCCTCAGGGAAAGCTTATAGTGACCGTAGTGAGGGCTAATAGCTTAAAGAATCATGAAATGATTGGAAAATCTGATCCGTATGCAGTTGTATATATTCGTCCACTATTTAAGCTGAAGACGAAAACCATCAATAACAACCTAAATCCGGTTTGGGACCAGACGTTTGATTTGATTGCAGAAGACAAGGAGACTCAATCTCTTATCCTAGAGGTCTAATTTCTTTACATTTTATTTTAGCCTCTATCTGTACGGGTTTCCATAACCGTATCCATGATCATTTTGAACAGGTATTTGATAAAGACGTTGGTCAAGATCAGCGGATGGGGGTTACAAAGTTGCCTCTGAATGAGCTGGTAGCGGAGAGTCCAAAGGAAATTGAATTAAGGTTACTGCCAAAACTTGACATGCTTAGAGTCAAAGATAAGAAAGATAGAGGAACTATCACAGTGAAGGTAAGGTACACGACAAAGTCTACATGTTGCGCTATTGAGGTATTATGCTCTTACGTATTGATTGCTGTCCTGAAATTTGCAGGTATTGTATCATGAGTTCAACAAAGAAGAGCAGTTAGCTGCTGTGGATAGAGAGAAGCAGATCGTAGAAGAAAGAAAGAGGCTGAAGGCAGAAGGTGTCATCGGCAGCACTATGGATGCCCTTGACGGAGCAGCATCACTCGTAGGCACGGGGCTTGGTGCAGGAGTAGGTCTTGTCGGAACAGGGCTAGGTGCGGGTGCAGGGATGGTAGGTAGTGGCCTTGGAGCTGTTGGAAGTGGCCTAAGCAAAGCCGGTAAGTTTATGGGGAAGACTCTCACGGGGCAATCGAGGAACAAGAGTGGTTCCCATAGTCGAGTAAACTCTGTTCAAGAAAATGGAGGTGCAAAGCCACTCTAGACTATGACTTTGTGATGTTGGCTAGTTTTGTGAAGTCGAAACTATCTAGTGTTTGGAAACCAGTCATGGGAGTTGATTCAATGGACTAGCTTCGTTCATTGGGGAGCTAGTTGAATAGTATAGGCCCCTCTGGTGAATAAAGGCAAAAGTAAACATTTTAGAAACCTTTGGGGCAAGTATGGATTTTCTTATAAATATATTTAATGTCTCTGTTAGTAAAAAGGGGGTGTAAGTAAATCATTTCATAAATTACAGGGTAAATTTGTGCTAAAAGGTTAATCTTAGGGCTCAAATTTCTAACTGGGAATAAATATAAACCTTTTCGCGAAGTATAGATAAATATAATGCAAAAGCTTTGCTGTATTTTTTCGTTCATTTTTGTTTGTCATGTTACATTTTTCAAAGGTCAATTTGACTGACTTTTAAACTGAAATTAGATTACATTAATTTGGTATTTTAAACAAACAAAAATAAGATATTCAAAAATATATGGAAAAATACTATAAATTGCAAAAAAAAATCATATCAGAACGATGAAAAATACATGTAAAATGTTAGTAAAAGTGTTTGATTCTAAGATAGAGAATTATGACAATTAAAAATGGGGAGAGATTTAGCATTTGTTTGGCTATGATTGTGAGAAAATTGGGAAAAACTACAAAACCTGTTTTCACTATTTGATAGTTATCCATTTCAAATTTTTTTCCCATTTTTTTTATTTTTATAAGAACAATCCCATTTATTTCTTGTTATGCTAGAATTCAAAAATGTTAAATAAGTCAAAACTCATTTGTTTTCGGTTAATATAGTTGCATAGAAGTTGTACATGAGTTGCATGTAAATTGTAGCTTTTTGACTGGATTTCTTAACCAAAAAAATGTACACATTGTACATAACCCAACCCAAGTATATATACTAGTTTTCTGATACTTGTCATTTACATCATATGTATATTAAATATAAAGTATATCTGAACTTTGAGCAACCCAAAATTATTTGAGTTTGTTAATAAGGGGGAGAGTAGAAAACTGGTAGCTTAAAAATGAGAGAAAACTCCTTTATTTATAGTGCAAGTATGAATAGGTGTTTTGTGCCTTATCAAAATAGTTACGACTAATCAAAAAGTCATTCTCAAAATACCCCTTCTACTTACTTCTACAAACAAGTAATCATTCCAACTTTGAGAATGCACATCTACACACCTCAAACTCATCAGACACTGTGGCTCGTGGACACCGTCCAACGCTGACATAACACATATTATGAAAGGTGTCTAGCTAGATGATATTTTGTAAGTTAGGGTGTGTTTAGTTAAGGTGTACTCTATCCATATCTATCATGTTATGCATGCCAATTTCAAGTTAGGTATTGGAACTTACTTGTTTCATGTTTTATGGTAACTGAAGATTACAACATAATATGCGCTAGCTCGATCTCTCTGCAAAGATGATTGTAACAGTTGTTGACACCTAATTTTTGACCCGCGTTGGTATAAATTAATTATCGAACTTCGTGAGTTTTTTTAAATTATTTAAAGTTAGTTAGTTTTATAAATCTCTTGCGAAAATAAAATATATGTACATATATGTATATACATATATGTATATGTATATATGTATGTCTTAAACCCATTCCTTTACCCCAGCCCACTCCACTCCTCTCTCCCATTCCCAAAATAAAATTACCTCTCAACCCAACACTAACTTAATACTAACCCAACCCAATCCCCTTTCGACCCGACCCGACCCCCTTCCCTCCTTCTTCCCCTTCCCCCAGACTCGTTCTTCAAAAAAAAAAAACAGAAACCCAGAAAAAGACCCGACCCCTCACGCTCCATCCTCCCCCACGCGACCCCCTCGCGTCTCTCCCCACGCTCTCGCATTCTCTTTTGTTTGTTTGATTGCATGTGAAAACTATTCTCGAGTCCTCATGGACCTCACTCCGATTCCTTGAACCTTCTCGTTGAGCCATAAAGGCTCAAAACACTTTTTCCGAGTCAGCCAACCCCTGAAAGGATGTACAGCATCGAAAGAAAACCAGCAGAAACTGCTGGAAAAGTTGTTGCAGGGATTTGAAGAACATGTATACAGCAGTATACATGTTTTATACATCTGATATACACTGGTATACATGTCGAAAATGCACAGGAAATCCGAACTCGAAATCTGGTTTGATAGCAGGGAAATTACGCTCCTGGAAAGAAGTTTTCAACTTCAGAAAGTTGAAAAACAGGCAGATATACAGTCTGTATACACTGATATACAGACACGGTATAATATAAATATGTGTAAAAAATGTGATTGGCAGGGGAACGTAGAGGGACGCCTTTTCTAATTAAAATTCGGAATTAGGCAAACAATGCGGACGTAGGGTGCAGCCCGTATACATTAGTATACATTATCGGGCGGCGATATACAATTGTTAAACAGGTTTAAAAAATGATACAGGTACAAATACGCAGGGAAATACAGGGGAAATGGTGAAAAATGTGTATTCAAAAAATGCAGGGCTCAAAATTTCATAAAAATGGTTTGAATATACATCGTATACAGCCGTATACATCGTTTGTATATTTTATGTCTCTTTTCAGGAATTGGGCCAGGGCCCTTCAGCCCTTTTTTTTTATTAACAGGCCCAAAGGCCGTTTGTCTCTGCAGGTTTTTTAAAAGGGCCCAAATCTAAGTAAATAGATTAGGACAGGTGGGCCAAAGCCCAATTGAATGAATTTGGGCAATCCAGCCCAAGTTCAAATATTTCTTTCTCTATTATTTATTTGTTTGAATTATTTAATATCTTGGTAGAATTTTAAAAAAAAAAAAAAAATCTCCTAAAGGGGTAGCCATTTTTCATTATTTAAATTTTATTATTTTGTTTTACTTACTTTTGTCACAATTTAGTTTTTC